AATCTCGTAAAACCACCTTAGTCACAACTTCTAATATTTTAATTGATTTGAACCAACTAGACTTAAACCAAATTTTTATTTAATTTCATGGCCCCTCTAAATCTGGAAATCAATAAAAGTAAAAGCACATCGAAAAAAAAAAAAAAAGCCTCGCGAAAAGCTGAAGCTTTCCTTTTTTTTTCCCCAAAGAGGGCAATGTAAATTACCTCGACCTGCAAGTTCGGAACTAAGGGTCTAATTTTAACATTCCCGTTTTTGTTTCGTGAAGCGGTCATAGCACATAAACATGTTGGAACCATACCTAATCTTGTAATCCTCGTGTCCCACTAGAGCGACAGACAGAAGCAAACCACAACGACAAGCCTCAAACCAGAGTCTTTCGCTATTCGAGAGGCTTTGTAGAATAAAGGATGCTATACCGAAACACGAGCATCATGCACGCGAGGGTATCTTTGGCAGGCTTGCAATCGCTCGTGCTTACTTCACGAGCACCGAGCGACTAAACGCCTGTCATAGGTACCATCGCGAGCATGCTGCGTGGGTTCGAGGCTTGTCGCTGTCTTTTGTTTCTGTCTGTCGCTCTAATGGGGCACGGGCATAAACTCCGGAACGCAGCCCAGTGACGGAACCTTACATGTTTTGTTACGTCCCTGTTTATGTTCTATACCTCGTCTCACCTTAGTATAAACTATTGTTAGCCGCGCGTGCTAAAAGCGCGAGCTAGTCGCTTTGAATCAAGCCGCGGTGGCTGCACGAGCGGTCGTGCAGCAGGTGCTCTGGTCAAGGCTGTCAAGGTTGGCCGCTCGCGCTAGCACTGCCTTCGCGGTTAGTCCATGCTAGGGTGAGACGAAGTATTAAGGGCTGTTTATACTCCGACGTCGACGAACGTGACGTGCGCCGGCGTTCGTCGTCAACAACGACACGACGCGCTGCGCTGAGAGGGTTGCGGTCAACGGCATTTATACTCCATCGCGGTCCAGCGCGCTCCGATGCGCACTTCGCGTTGCGCCTGCGCGTCGCCATGACAACCGCGACATAAGCTGATGGTTTATTTCCGTTTCCGTTTGCATTCTGTCCTGACTTGTTCAGACGGGAGGAACCATGGAGAGCCGATTCGCGATGTATTTAGATCAGCAAAAAAAGAAAAAAATTGCAGCGGTGCTTTTATGACGCCGAATACGACGCCAGAGAACACGCACGATGTACGTACGAGACATATTTGATAAGCGCACAGTGTTTGGAGAATTTTACCATCTAGTACAGGAGCTGCGCGAGTCCGACCCAGAATACCACTTTCAATATTTCAGGTAAGGCGACGGTCGATAGTCATGTCGCTTATCATAGTGAATCAATTCTGTCGTTTCCTTTTCTGCAGGATGACGAAGGCTTCATTCGACGAGCTGCTCGGACTCGTCCACGACCGTCTTGTACACTCGCCCACACATCGCTCTCCCATCTCGCCCGCTGAGAGGCTGGCCATCACACTGAGGTATTTACTACTAGGGTGCCTTCATGTGCACTTTGCCTGGGGTGATGACATTTTACCATTTTGTTTCGAACGCTTATTTTTTTTTTTTGTTCTGAAAGCGTGAAAGAGCGTGTCCCTGCACGCGCTGCTGGCGTGACTATGTTAAGGCAACATTTTGTTTCTTGCGATTTCTTTGTATTTTCCCTGTGAGCGCGTGCTGTCGGCATCGGGCACTACAAACGGTGGCATCCCCCAAAACAGAAGTACATTGAGGCACTCTATGTACTACATATTTGATATACACTTCATTTTCGCGGATGCTTGACTGATTAGGTTATGCTTCTAGGCGGTGTACTACCGCCGTACACACGCCCAACTCGTATTAAAATACCTCAAACCGGGAACTTATGCGCTCTCATCTACTCCGATATTTTAATTGAGAGGCCCAATCTTGACAGTGCGTTCCAAAATAAAGTTTGGGCTCTTAAATCGCCAGCAAAAATCAGGGACGCGACGTTTCAAGTAGAAACTTACCTCAAATGCTTCCTTTACTTGTTGGATGTACAGCACGCATTCATATTTTAAGTCTGAACTCCTAGAACGAAAAAAAAGCCTAAAATGGGAAAGTTTACTTTTTAAGTCTTTCGTACTTTAAATAGAGACTTGAATTTGTAATATGTAAAGGGGACTAGTGAGGTATGTATTCGAGGTAAGTTTCAACTTGATAGTTTCAGTTGCTGATGTTCGACGGGCCATTAGTACTACCTTGTAACTTTATTTTGAGACACTCATAAATAAGCGGATCAACGTATCATTGTAACACTTACTACATCAAACACATATTTTACTAAATAGAAAGGCTGACCCACTTGACAACATCGTCATTCATTTTTTTTTGCACTTTAAATTGAGACTGAAATTTTTAATGAGTAAATCAGCGCAGTAAAACTCATATTCGAGATCAATTTCCACTTCATGCGCCAATCCCTTGATTTTTGCGGGCGGTTTTAGAGTAGAAACTATTTCAAAACACCGTAGAGCGTCAGTCAAACACATTTAGTACATATTTACATATTGCGTGTATAGCAATATAAGTCTGACGGAGCACTCTCGTAGGTCGTTCTTAGTCACAAACAGTGCAAATGACTGACTAAACAGTTGCTCTGAGTTAGGTACTAAGTCTCAAAATTTTGTTTTTCACATTTCTAGGTTCCTTGCATCACCAGGATCCCTGGGCCATGTGGCCATAAGTTACCGGATGCATAACGCAACATTATCGGGGATCCTCCAGGAAACGCTGCCAGCCATCTGGGACTGCCTCTCCCCGTTAGTGCTGCAGCCACCCACATCACAACAGTGGGAAGAGATCCGGAGGGAGGTCTGCGTCAAGTGGAACTTTCCTAACGCCACTGGATCAATAGATGGCAAGCACTTTGCGATCAGGTGCCCACCAAACTCTGGCTCAATATTTCACAACTACAAGAAATTCTACTCGATGGTGCTGCTCGCTGTTGTTGATGCCCACTACAGGTTTCGACTGGTGGACATTGGGGCTGCCGGACACCAGTCCGATGGCGGTGTGTTGAGAGAGTCTAACCTCGGAAAGGCGTTAGCTGCCAACACCCTCCAGATCCCTGTAATCGCAGAGCCTGCACCACCTCTGTGCCTCCTGGGGGATGAAGCCTTCCCGTTGAAAACGTACCTCATGCGCCCTTTCCCCGGAAGAGGCTTGGACTACCGAAAAAAGGTCTTCAACTACAGGCTCTCCCGGGGCAGGCGTACAGTAGAAAACGCCTTCGGAATACTTGTGTCTCGCTGGCGGGCGTTTCTGGCTCCCATGCATGGCACTGTTGAGCACTGTGAAAATATGATAAAAGCGGGAGTCTGCCTCCACAACTTCCTAACAAGGGATGAAGCCTACCGCCCTCCTGGATATGCTGACAGTGAAAGAAGGGGTGCCCGTGTGGATGGTCAGTGGCGAGCTGACATTTTGATGTTGGTGTAAACAGGAGCCTAGGTGGGAACAGCAGCCCAGCAGCAATCAGCATCAGGGACCAGCTAGCAGACCACTTCATCTCCCCTAGGGGAGCCATCCCGTGGCAACACGACATAGTGACGAGGGAGTAGATGACGACACAAGGTTGTTATCAATGCTGTTCAATTTTTTTTCTTTCCTTGCAAATAAATTGTATATATTTTCTCTGCTCTGCTTGCTTAACAGGGTTGACCGGCAAAATATATTTCGCAATCCCTCGTTGTTTTCACCTTCAAAGAGATTACCTGCCTACCTTGGTGAATTTCGTTGTACAGGGGAGAGCGAGGTAATTGGCACAAGCGAGGAATATTGGCCATCCATGTTTTTCGCTTGCCACTGAGATACAGGCACGCATACCAAATGATTGGCTTCTTATTAAGTGAACCCGTAGGAATGTAGTAGTGGCTCCCTTGGAAAATAGGACAGCTTGCGTATTAATTACAAAAGTCGGGTTTAATCTTTTCATTTACACCACAAAGGAGTAAAATAACATTCTAGATGTACTTTCGATAAGCCTGCTTTTCTACTTGCATTTTTCTCGGAAATATAAACAGGTTTCGAGCAATGCGTGCCACCCACGAAGCGAATGTAATGGGTAGAAAGCATGTTTTATTAACGGTATTAGCGCAGGCTGTGTGTCTGAGTAGCAGATGATGCTATTATGTGCACTAGACATTTTGCTAATTTACACAAGCACCAAAGATCATGCCGGGTTTGCAGGTACACTCGCTGCGCAAGGTATCGTCCACACTCGTGTGTACCTACATTCCAAGCCACTTCCTTGACGCTTGGGGTAAATTTGAAAAATGTCTGTAGGTGTTCTTTCAAGCTATTTTATGTGATAGGCATCCCTGCAGCTTGCCTCCAAGAACAAATTCTGAAGTATTGAACTAGAGAGTTAATAATATTCAGATTAACATAGACTGCTTCACAGATTATGTTTTTTTTTTTTTCTAACGATGTAGTAGAATTGCATAAGCAGAGGTTGCTCTTCGAAAATGTAGTTCATATTAACAGAATGTGTATATTATCAAAACATGAGTGGACACGTGTGCCTTCAGATGCACAAAGGTCGGGGGCGTTTTATTTCTGCTGAAATTTACATTCATACTCATACACAATCTGCATAACACAAGCCCTGAATTGGGCACTGGTGACCTCGTCCCAACGATCTAGAGATTGTGCTACAGAGTAGGCAAACGCCTCGTTCTGTGTCATTTTAGTGCTTAAATGATTTAGAAGTTCTCTCTCCATTGTGTCAACCTCCCTTCTACGTGCAGAATGGGGGGTCCTGGACACCTTTGTGACTGGCCTGATGACCTCCTCGAGGTGCTTGATGTTGATACAACCGAGGTGGACGGCGTGGCTGGGACAGGAGCCTCGGGGCTGCACTGCAGCTCTTCTTGGGCAAGCTCAAAGTCAGTGGGAATGGTCGAGTCGTCAGGAGAAGATTCCACCATTTCCATTAATAGACACTGTGCTGTGTCGCCCATAGGTGGTGCCTTTACGTTGGTGGTTGCCCTGCAAGTGGGATTAACATATGAGAGAGAAATTTAGTTAGACAGCAAATAAGGACTCATGTTTCGTTTACATACTTCCTGGGTCGGATATGTTTCTCGTAAAACGACATCATTTCCAGGAAGGCCCATTGTTTTTTCCGGACGAAGCCACTGCCACTCCTTGTGGCAGCTTCAATGGCGCGGACCTCCCGAACATACCTGTCGCGTACACGCTTCCACGCTTTTTGTGCGTCCTCACCTGAAATAAATATGTCAAATTCAGTTCTGCCAAATGCAGACGTGATACAAAAATAAAATGCTGAACAAGTTGCCATGTCAGGTAAGCCGCTTGCACTGCTTTTCTGTTTGAAGTCCTAAATAACTAGAGCGCCTCAATGTCTTTCTGTTTGGATGATGCCATCGTTTGTAGTACCCGATGGCGACCGCACGCGCTCACAGGGAAAATACAAAGAAATCGCAGGAAGCAAAATGTCGCCGTAGCTGCACCGTGGCCGTAGCACAGTCAGCGCCACGCGCGCGTGCAGGGACACGCTCTTTTACGCGCTTCAACACACAACACACACACACACACACACACACACACACACACACACACACACACACACACACACACACACACACACAACAAAAAAAAAGCGTTCGAAACAAAGTGGCCAGATGTCGTCACGCCAAGCAAAGCGCACATGAAATCACCCTAGTCAACTTACCGGACTTCATGCCGCAGGCAATGCGCACGGACTCCCAGGCATTCTTTTTTCGCTTGGAATCCCTGTACTCTAGAGAACCGACGTCATAAAGACACTCGCGCTCTCTCACCGCTTCAATGAGCCGCTCAACCTCGTCCGTCGTCAGATCGCTCGGTTCGCACACCGCGGCACCTCCGTTCGCCATTTTTCTTTCCAACTGACGCTCGCGCGAGGAATTCTGGGTGACGACCGTCGTCGGCCGACGCCGAGATTCGAGCAGCGCCTACCTCGACGTGAGCTTCGCCGGCGCGCGCCGAGGCGCGTTACGTTGCGAGGCGGTCCACTTGTGTTCGGAGTATAAACTCTCCTTTCGCAGCTACGTCACGCAACGCGCTCGGGAGCGCGCGCCCGTCGACGTTACGTTGAAGTATAAACAGCCCGCCTCGACGTGAGCTTCGCTGGCGCGCGCCGGGGCGCGTTACGTTGCGAGGCGTTCCACCTGTCGTCAGAGTATAAACTGTCCTTTCGTAGCAACGTCAGGCAACGCGGTTGGGCGCGCGCGCCCGTCGACGTTACGTTGGAGTATAAACAGCCCTTAAGTGAAACGGTGTTAACTATCTCATCCGGAAGACCGTTTTAAAAGCAGCACTAAAAAAAAGACGTTGCAGCAAAAAGTTTTTTTTTTTTTTTATTTTTTATTTACATGAGGAACTAGAGAAGCACGGAAGCACACTATTTAACTTTGAAACACTTTGGAGGCTTTTGTAATTGGACTTCAAACTGTAGCCAGCTGACATTATAATCGCTCATTTGATTGCTATGTACACCTCAGATACAATAAATACAAGTTTGTTTTAGTGCATTGCCTACGAATGACAGACATCTATTTTGACGAGCTCTGAGCGGGCGCTAAGCATACGTTAAAATTTTCTTGCATGCTTTCCATAAGCCGAGCGAATCCTTTATTGCTGTCCATAAATTGTATCCCTTTCCAAGTGGAAGTTATTTCACCCTTGCGCAAAATCGCACAGAATTCCCGTTTTGCTACCAGAATATATAGACTTTTTCTGTGTACTCTCGTCTCCAGCCACCTAATAGGCGTATCCGGTATGGGCGACGAAAAAATAATCCAACGTTTCAACCTGCAAATAGTAAAAAAATAAAGGGGAGGCAAAACGAGAATGGGTGACGGTTACGCTTATATCCTAAATGCCTTCTATTGGCGTGGCGACGGCAAAACAATGTTTGCGCCCATACTGGAAGTGATGTCAATTCAAGATGGCGGCGCACTTGCAGAAAAGGTCTATATATATATAATTTTTTTTTTACATTTTGAGGGTGCGGTTAGTGCTTTTTGGTCAAAGGCTCCATGAAACAAATCTTGGGCTAGAATAAATCAATATATTTTGGGATTTTACTAATAGCACATCGTTCAGTGGGCCAAAATAAAGAAGAAAGGTAGAAAGTCAAAAGCCTGATTTTCGGTACGAAAATTTGAAAATATAGGGGACTATTTCGTACCTCCTTCCCTTCGTAAGCTCTCTGCCTTTTCACAGTGATACATCGCCGGGCCCAAACGCAGGTCACACGGCACCGGACCTCACTTAATCCCTTCACCCCTAAGCTGACATTGTGCTTGAAGCTACGCGCTTGCCGGACCAATCAGCCGCCTCCCTTTCATCACCTGACCTCATTCTCTGCGCGTGGGTATGAGCGAGAGAGCGTGATCGCGTGACAAAAGTGTGGCTGGTTCAACGAGCACGTAGCTTCAACAGCACTGTCAGCTTCGGGTTGAACGAGGTGGGGAAAGCAAGTTTTGTCTGAATTTCGAGCCACGGGCTAATCTTCTAGGGGGACAATGGCTGTGTCCGTAGAAACGAGATTACGAGCAAGAGGGGACTCCCCCCTTTCCGTCTTCTTGAAGTCTTTGAAAGAATGCGCCATTTACGAGTTGAGGAGGAAAGCTAAACAAGAAAAAGTTGTAAAAGCGTTTTTCGCATATTTCGCGACCGCTAACAATAACCAGATTAGTCGGTATGGAGCGCGGTCATGGACTTGTCCTTCCGTTCCCCTTCGACGCTCAGCAGCACCTTCGTGAACGGCTCGAGAGCGTTCAGCGTCGGGCGACCCGAACCATCTGGAGCCGGTCATGCGGTGCAGCGAACGTCTCCTACAACGCACGCCTTGGGGCACTCGAGTGGCGACCCCTCGGACAGAGGAGGCGGACATCACGTGTACGTGCGGTCTGTCGGCTGCTCGACAGGTCGCTTGCGGGGTCCCACCTCGCGTCAGTGGTGCGTGTCAGCAAAAGGACAGGTCAGCCCGAGCCGCTCCGCGGCCGTACCACTCGCCATAGCGAATCTTTCATCCCCGCCGCCATCAGAGACTTTCTAATTATCCCACTAAACGCTCGCAACCCTCTACCGGCATCAAACGATGAGTCTCGAGAACTGTGCAGGCTCTTCTCCCATCAAGTGGCGTCGGACACCTCATGAGCTGCGGCACCATAACCACTGACCACAGTTGTTGTTTTGACTATTTATACTTACCCAAATTGTTTTTCCCCTTTTCCTTTCCCCTCATCCACGGTGTATGCGGCGACCGGCTAGCAGGCGCACAAGCGTAAGGGTTGTTACCTTTTTGTCTAGCCTCGCACGTCGTCGCATACACATCATACTTCTTGTGCAAATAAATTACGAATTACAATTACATGTTCCTCAATCTGTCTAATTAGTCATTTGCGTGGCAAAAGTGCCTTACCAAACATATTGAACCGCGTTATTTATGTGTACGTCCCGCTTTACGGGAGACATACTCGTTGGTATAGTTTATATTAAGTTTATTTATTTCTCTTCATTACCCTGACATCCAGTTTGATGTTAAGCGGATTGTAGTAAGAAGTAAGAAAATTACGGGGGTTCAGTCAAAAGTAGGAATAGCTCTTGTACTGTTGGGGATGTTTCCTTTTTGGGCATTTGCGTGCCCACTTTCCGTTTAAGTGGTGTGGTGAACCTAAGAGAGGATTAACCAGCCGGACTACCGCTTGAAAACGCTTTGAGCTTTGGGACGTGTTTTTTTCTTTTTACCTTTTGCCGGAATGTGTATCCACAATAAAACTTTGGTTGGGGCTAGTTGGTTCATTTCTATTAAAAAATTAAAACGCGAACAAACAAGACGAAAAAAGGCACACGTAGGACTTGGACAGGCTCCACCTTCCAACTGATTTATTGAAATATGAATCAACGTCAAACTCGATCCCAATCGCCTAAACACATGCAACTGATAAAAAATTCTTATCGCTCATTACATACATACTTCAAGAAACGCAATTTCTTTGGTTAACAGATAAAGGGATGGCATGCGTACGCATCTGTCAGCCGCTTTGTGTATACAGATTCGTGTATTTGTATTTGAGTACCTGTATACACAAAGCGGCTGACAGATGCCTAAGCATGCCATCTCTTTGTCTGTTAGCCAAAGCAATTGCGTTTCTTGAAGCATGTATGTAATGAGCGATAAGAATTTTTTATCAGTTGCATGTGTTTAGGTGATAGAGATGGAGTTTGACGATGATTGGTATTTCAATAAATCAGTTGGAAGTTGGCGCCTGTCCGTGGTCCTTTTTCGTCCTGTTTGTTCGCGCATTTTAACCTTTTATTATGTATCCACTCACGCTTTGTGGTGAATAAACCCCCAGCTGCGTTTGCCTTGACCGTTTTGTTTTAATTTCTCATCTCGAGTTTCGTCGTAGTGTAGCAATTCCACCTAGAACACAAGGCCTGCGCGTTTCCTCCTCTAAACGTCATCCCTAGTAGATCCCCTCAGCGCCCCCTAGCTAGCCCGGATGAGCAACATCGTCTGCTACATCGTCTGCTACATCGTCTGCTACATCGTCTGCAACATCGCCTGCTCCATTGACTCCTTCAGTGGTTTGTGTAGCAGATAATGAAACAGATGTTCATGTCGAGTGTATTTTGCTATAGCATACGATGAAGTTAGACGTTCACGTGGAGCGTCAAATGCATGAGTGAAAGTGCCTTACTGCTGTGCGAAGGGCCGCAAAGCCCTCCGCTGGGCGCTGGACGCTGGCACTGGACGCCATTTTTGAGGGCGCTGTTCATACTCCGTTCATTCCTAAGCAGAGAACGCAGCCAATGCCAGAAGCACGAGAGCTTGAGGTGGCTGCTTTGAAGCGTTCTTCGGCAAAACGAGCGCACGATCGAGAAATGCTCGTCCCAAAGCCAGGAGCGCGTGCTAGCCGGCGCTTCTGGCCGAGGGAGTGTTCGCATGCACGTTACAAATGACCTGCAAGCTCGCTATCAGCTCGCGCTCAGCAGACGCGCACGCAGCTATGGCCGCAAGTGAATGCGACGTAGTTGGCCGTGTTCCAAAATTTACTCGATCTTACTCCAGGATAAAGTGTTTATACCTTGGCGTTCTAAAACCTACCCGCGTCCAACGTTTTTCAATATCTGTCTTGCCACGTGACACGACCCGTCGGAGTAACTCGGATCCGTTTGGGTAAGATTTGGAACGCAGCCGTAGTTCTGAAGCGGCCCATATATACTCTCGTTAAGCTTCGGGGTGTTTGCCGCTTGGGGCGGGTCGGGGATCTACTAACGAAACGTCATGCGCAGGTCTTGTCTTCTAGGTGGTATTGAGTGTAGGCGCAACATGTTCGCAGCGTCAGAAGGCGGGTGCTCTTTAAATTAAAGGAAAGGCCGCGAACGCGTAGCGATGGCAACACGCTGGCAGTTCACTGCCAGTGATATCACAGAGTTTTACTGGACTGTACTCTACAGCTTTGCGTACGCAAGGAAATTGCGGGTCGTGAGCGCGGATGCGCAGAACGCAATAGAAGATCTAGCGTATTGCGTACGCACTCAATGCTGGGGATCTTGCGTTGGGGGCTAGCGGGCTTTGAGGGAAGTTCTCGAGAGATCTCGGGCTCAACGAGAGCAGCAGTTTCAAAATGGCAGTTACCTCGACTGGCGCAGCAAGGGCGACAGGGTATTCAGGAAGTACAGGGTTACGTGAAATTGTGTGGTCTCCAGCACGGCAATTCATTCCGGAACCTACCGCGGTCGAATCAGATCGCAGTGCAGCTGAAGGAGTGCACAGCGAATATGTTCACAGCTCGCGATGTGCGTCAATGCTGCGATCTGCTCAATGCTAAACCGAATCGCGCAGTTC